AGCTAACCGGTGACGCTGCGAGTGGCCGTCCAGCCACTGACCTCCCCTGCAGTGCTGTTGTGTTCTTTACCGCTACTCCTAAAGCACTACATATTTATTCAGTTTTGCACTGAGCTATAATAAAAGAGTGCCCGTCGGATGCCCCAGGTGATTAATCAGCCCTTAGCAATCTTTATAAAGGAACATATCTATTATTAAATCCCAGATCAAATCAAATCCCCAGAACTGTAAACTGAGCCCAGTAAACTCTGCCTGACCAGCCAGAACAAAAATGCTGGGAAAGAGAAAAATTATTGTAGTACAAGCCTTCAAAGTTTTAATAAAATGGAAGCTTTTGTGTTGAGATTGGTTATTATAATCAAGAAATGCTTTGTCTTTTGCAAAAAAAAAAAAAAAAGGGAGGGGGGATAGAAAATCTGAAAGGACAGAATACAAATCCATTTTAAGAATTAGATATTCCCTATTATTTGTTGCTTCCCTGCAACTCTGTAAGCATGTTCTAAGTATAAATACCACCTACTCACTAATAACATACGAGAGAAAACTATAGATGAAGCATGGGTGAGGCATCTAGAAACAGAGAGATACTGTATTTAATTTCTTATCTAAATGAGAAGATTAACAGAGGCCAGCCATTTAAGTATTTTTGTAACAAAGATAATTTACTGGGTACTTTCTTTCAGATGTTTTATTGGCACCTATTTTTCCTTTTCAACATAGAAAAAACTGTATTTCATGCAATTATTTCTCCATTTAGTGTTGTTTCTCCTCTTTTCTTTCTTATTTTAGCATTTCTTTTTTTCCCACATGAATGTTAACTATTCATAACCCTATGAGAATTTGAATTCTATATTAATAACTTAACAACTCATCATCTCTTTCCGCCGAAGAAGACTGAAAGCGCTGCCAAATATATTTTGTTTAGATTTACTGTAGATTAAAAGCTGATTAGATAGTATTACAAGGTATTAGAAAAGCACCGCTTATATAATAAGGATTTTTTAAAATTTGTGTTGAGCACTTACAGATTTTTTTCAGTTTTCCATGGAAAGGGAAACGTTAAACATTTTAGAAATCAAAATTAGATCATAATCATCTGACATGAAATAGCAGACTATCCAGCCATGCTTTTGCAACTCAAGTGCTAAGTTTTGTAGTGTTCAAATCAAAGTGGAAAGGGTTCCCATTAGCCTCCTGAAAGAATTCAGTCACCAAATTTAAGGGAAATTAGGAGTAGTTTCACTTCATTGAGCAAGTTCCATGCCTCTCCATATGCTATTAATGGGTACCTAGACCCAGTATCCCTTTGTACATGAGGTTTAACAGTTCCTAGAGAAAATATTTCATGGAACTGTATTACGCTTTTTTGCTTGTGGGTGAAGCCTTGCATTGGTGGTTTGGAGGAGTCCTTTGGGGAACAATTGCCTATAAATGCTGGCAACTGGACTCAGTGGCCCACAAGCATCTGTCCAGTTCTGTGTTTCAATATCATCCATTGTTCATTGGCTTCATCTTATCTTTTCAGGGCTAGCTTGCAGAAAACATCTTATGCAGCAGAGCTGAATACTATTTTCTGTGTACCCCTTTGCCAAAATTCCCTAGGGAAGACATTTGAAATTTGTCAGACTTAGAAAAGTATTACCCAAATGCACTGTCACCTGGAGAATGTTCAAAAGCCATAAAAATCAGGAACAATTCTTAATTACTTGTGTTCAAACCTTGTTGGGGATTGTGTTGCTATTGTGTCATTTAATGTAAAAATATTTTGCACAATGCTGTCAGCTAAAGACATAGACCAGATAAATAACTGCAGTATTTTTCTCAACAAACCTTCAAGCTGGAAAAAAATCTCTTCTGCTACCACATCCTTTATTCTGTCCACTTTTTCTTGAGGATCAATAACATTTTGCCTGTAAATATTTTGTGTGTCTCAGTTATAAAGGATTTTATATTCTGTTTGGGTGGGGGAAGCTATTTTTGTATTGATTTTTTTTCTTCTGTACTAAGGGAAGAAGTACATATATTCCTTAAATTCTGGAACCCTTGATCCTCCTGTCACATATCACAAACTACCATAGCACACTAGCACCTATCTGACATTTCAACATCTATTAGGCTAACAGAAGGAAAAACTAGAAAACTGAAATATCTCTCTTCCACACATAAGGTGCATCTACATGTTGCCCTATGACAATGTTATTACTAGACTGTGCTTTAGTACTTCCAAAATACTAAAGCACAGTGCAGTAACCACCCATACTGCACCATATACAAGTGCACAATTATTTTTAGTAGCTACTTGCCGTAGTGGTGTGCTATAACAGGAGAGCACACGACTATGGTGAAGTAGCTGCTGGTCATGTGTAGACACCCGTGGATGCTATGTCACTGTAACATGTGACTATGGCAACATAGTATCACATGTAGACATGCCCATAAGGCACTAGAGTTACTGGAGCTTCACAGTAAACCAATATTAAACTGCATTAATTTAGAATTAGGGTTGTTATTATTGCTTATACTCCAGTCCCTAAAAGGCAAAGATATCAACAGTGAAATCATCCGACATGTGGGTTTTGATAGTTGGTGTGACTGTTATAAATTACATTATGGAATGTAATTCTGTGGGAGTTTCACAGCTTTGTAACAATTAAGTTTAATCAGTTTTACTGCCAGTCAAGCTGGATTTCTGTCTCATTCACTCTAATGTCCCTTTCCATGCATAGCCATATACAGTTTTGTTAGGTGACATCTACTTCAGCATGCATGGTCCATGAAAAGCCCTCTCTGCACCGCAGCAGTGAGGATGGAGAGAATATCCTCACATACTCTGTAGTCAGTAGAATTTCCCTGGTCGTTGGCACAACAGATAGCCCAAAGTCACAAGGATAAGTCTATGGCTTTTCTGTAGTGGACAGGCTCCTCTAGAGGAAGATATGGCCCACTGGAGGATAGTCACCAAAGCAATGTCAAAAAAAAAACGGTGTGGGTATACACATGTGTACTGGCTGAAAGGGGAGTTTCTTGCAATTGATGAGTAAGGCAGATGAGAGAAGGGAAATGACAGAGGCAGAAGGTCCTTTGTTCTTCAGACCTCACTTGACTTGAAAGCATTAATAAGTCTTGGTGGGGGTTTTGTTTCTCTGTTGCAGTCATCTTTAACCAACAGCGACATCATCTTTGTGAAGCTTCATGCCCCATGGGAAGTCCTAGGCAAATATGCAGAAGTAATGAATGTAAGAATGCCTTTCAGGTAGGTGTAAATAAATTTTGTGTTAACCTCCATATTCAAACTTTACTGTAAAGATAATGTAGAACTAAAATTAAATGGATGCAGAAAAGCTATTCTGTGAATTGTCTCACAACTTTAGAAAATATGAAGAGAGAGACAGAGATACCATATTCATTGCTTTTTCTTGTTAATGCCTGCAATTTCCATACAGTATCAATTTTTAAAAAAGGCGACCTGTAGCAGCGCTGCTGTTTTTCATGGGGTATTCTATTCTTAGGCCCTTTAACCCCTTCACTGCTGGAGCCCCCTGCATACTCGTGCGCTGCTGTTTTTTAAATGGACATTTCATTGAAATTGGGAGGTCGAGACGATCCAGGTACGTACGGCAGCACAGAAGGTGCATGTCTGTTGGACGTATCTGGTATGTTCGGCACCTGTAAATTGACTGTTCTATAGTATAAAATAAAGGATAGACAGAATATAAATAAGTATCCCATCTAAGAGAAGAATGGCATTCAGACAGTAAATATGCTTCTGTCTTTGGAGAAAGAATAGAAATTGTATTGTATGCTGTTGGTGGCTAAATTAATTTCATCTGATAATACAGCTTTTTTATCTTTTTATCAAATATGATTTGTATGACAGATCTCAATTTTGATGTTAAAAAAGTCTTATTTTTCTCTGTTAAAACAACATTAAGGGCTTCATTTGAACTGTCCAAGCTTCTAAACTGAGAAGGCCTAATTCTCCTCTCACTTAATGGGAATTACATCTGATCTAAATGGAGTTATTTCTGATTTATCCTGGTGTAAACAAGAGAATCAGACCCAGAATATGCAAAGAATGAATGATCTGTGATGAAAGCTGTACCCAGAACTTTATGGATGTCCCTTTCTCATTTTGAGATGAAAGAAATACCGTTATGTGCTATAGACCATTGTATTTTATTAGGAAATCAGTCTGTGGGCTTGTCTACATGTGGACCTTTTATGCGGGTTTAGCCTAAAATCACCATTTTTAAGTTCCCTGAAGACCGTGTGTCCACAAGTATGCTCCCTTAATGCACCTTAAAAATGGCAATTTTGACCTAATCCCACCCAAATTTGATACCTGCTTAAAGCAAGTACCAAATACCAAATTTAGGTGTGATTAGCTATGTCACATTAGTCCACGTATAGACACTTAATGCGCATTAACGTGGCTATACGTGGGCTAATGCGATTTAGCTATACGAGCTTAAATATAATGCACCTTAATGCACATTAAATCACTTTAATGCACATTAAGGCATCCTAAATTGCTTTAATGCACCTTAAACAAAGGCGCATTAAGTTTAGGTACATGTAACTACAGTTGACCCTCACCATTTGTGGGGGATACATTCTCGTATCCCCAGCAAATGGTGAAATCCGCAAATCAGGCACTACATTTATAATGCAGTCTGCATTCATGAACACAGTGCCCCCATCAGCTGGGGGTGGGCACAGCTCCGGCGGCAGTGGCAGGAGCCCAGCAGCAGCAAGCACGGCGCTCCCAAGGAGCTTCTGTAAGTGTATACAGTGTATTTAAAATGTGGGTTTGGCATTTATAATTGAATATAAATTTATAAGTATTTGAAACTACAAATGCCAAACCCATGAATAGCGAGGGTTTCCTGTACATGTGTAAACATGCCTTGTATGTACTAGAGTTTTCATTTTAAGACAAACTCTTTTTTCCCCTTGTATGTGCATGTTTAGTGTTAAAAAGGAGAAAAAATTGCCAGGATATTTAGAGTCTAATTTTTTATTTCTAAAACCGTGAAAGCTATAAATCAAGTTAATCTTTTGATGCCATTGGCGTTACCATGGGATGAAGTTGTCCCAAAACATAATGGTAATAGCTCCTGCTTGTCAATCAGAGCATCATCCAGCAGGAAGTCAAATTTTAGTTTTTATAGAAAACTTGGACCTTCCTGATCCATACTGCTCAGAAGTGTCAGTAGACAGCAATGTTAATATAATTCAGAATATACGCAAATCTATACAGATATTAAAATTATTTCTTGACATGCTGCGTTTTTTCATCTCTATTCTTTGAACAGTCATTGCAAGACAGGAAGCCAGTAATGTATACGATATATTTATAAAATTACAAAAGAGAGGCATACTGAAATGTTCCCATAGAAAGTTTTTATACTAAATAACTTTAAAAGAATTTGTTTTCAGAAGCGTCCATTAGTTTTAGTTACCTCTATTTCCAGAGTGCTTAATTGAACACACCAAGGAACTAGTTTCCAAGTTTAAGTACAGACATTCAAAAAGTCCGAGGTAGAATTGATCCAACTTACATGGGTTTCTCTAAGCTGCGTAGATTAGATCAAGAGTGAAAGGAAAACACATTTTCCCTTCAGTGGGAGGGAGGAACATACAGATGCTTGCAGTGGCTGAGACTAGAAAGCAGGGGACACTCCCACATGCCTCTCAGTGTGCCAGATATTGCTGAGGGCAAATGAGTGGGGCCCATCCTTGACTGGCTATCAGGCACATGCCCCCAACTCCCTGCTGTCACCATGGATTTTCCCCTGCACCCAGCCGACACTTCCAGGGGAACCCCAGAGGGGGTCACCATGACACCCCACCCCCATCTCTGCCAGCTGGGCTGTCAGGCATGCCATGGTAACTCAGTCTGGGGCTCAGCTGGAAGCCTAGGGTTGGGAGTGAGAGAGGGACCATGGTAACAGCAAGGAGTTGGAGGGGATGTGCATGGCAGCCAATCAGAGGTGACCTGGCTCTGTAGAAGGAAGAGGCCTAATCCTTCTTCTGAGGGGCTCAGTCCTTCCTTCTAGGGAATACTTCTGTCCCCACTGCCCAGCACAAGTCTCCTGGACTGTCCAGAGCATCTTGCTGGAGCTCGGCACCAGCAGCAGCTGGCAAGATGTGCCAGGCGGTGAGGACAGGAGCGCTCCATAGAAAGAAGGATCAGATCCCTCATAGCTTGGCACCAGCCGCAGCTGAGGGGCCTGGTTCTTCCTTCTATGGATTGCCTCTGCAAGCCTCCCGGGCTGCCCAGCACATCTTGGCAGCTGCCACTGGTACCAAGCTGCAACAAGACATGCCAGGAAACCTAGGAGGCCCTGCACCCAGCAGCAAGAACAGGAGCACTCTGCAGAAGGAAGGTTTGGGTTCCTCAGTTGCCACTGGTGCTGAGTTCCAAGGGGCCTGATCCTTCCTTTTATGGCGCACTGCTGTCCCTGCTGCTCAGTACAAGCCTCCCTTCCTGCCCCCCCTTGCCTGCCTATATCTGTGCTAGCTTGTGTCCGTGACAACCCAAAGCAGCTGAACACCCCACAAGTGCTAGCACATCTCCCTATGAGGGGGGCAAGCAGGGTGGGAGGCACAAAGGCCCCTGGGATGCCGGCAGACAGCAACCTAACAAGAATCAATAGGGGATCTGGTACAAAGTTTGATAGACTGGTCTAACCTAAACTGATTAAGTCTGATACTACATCCATCCAAGTCTATCTCAGGCCTGGGTTCTGCCATTTTTAAACCAGTCTGTGTGCACTGAAATTCTGTCCTCTTACAGGTTTAGCCAGTTTTTGGCCCCTTACACCACCATTTATGTAATGTATATACTTTGCCCAAAGCTGTTGCCTTATTCACAGTTCCCAGTAATTTAGGTTGGAATTGCCAATACATTACACCGTATCGGGAGAAAACACCTCTGCAATTGATACACTGAGTTTCAAGCTGGGCACCCAAAATGAGTAAATATTTCTGAAATTTGGGATAGAATCCAAAAGAGCATGGGTGGATTTTTCAAAAGCACTGGGCTCAGTGGGGGTATGATGAACATTTGCCTTCAGTAGGAGCAGAGTTAGATTAAAACTGAATGTTTTTGAAAAGCTCGTCCTTAGTCCACACTCTGAATGATAAAGATTTTGAGAATATATAACATTATTTAAATTCTAAATTCTGGCAAGTAACCCAAATCAGTAACCCTTTGTTTGTGTATCTGTGGTTTAAAGCAGCAATACAACTTTTATTTTAGAAACTTGCCAAACAATTTCTTCTGGGTCACTCAGGGGCATTGCTATGTTATTTTAGAATATTGGCAAATATACAGAATGAGTTGTGTGGTATGAACCCTTCCTTTTACAGAACTGGTATAGATCAGCATTAAATGATGGAACATTTCAGAATACATAGAAACCAACTTGGTTTAATGATGACCTCCAGTGGATGACAAAAATCAGACTTAAGGAGCAAGGGACTGGAGTTCAATAAGGCATCCAAATCTTGCAGTAAGATACATGGTTAACAAATCCACACCTGAAAAGACCTTAGAGGTTTGAATGGGTTTAAGATTCAATTTCTCTTCTGAAAGAATGGGCAAAGTTCTTAGAGGTACTTTGCATAACTGAACAGCAAGAAACGAGCAACTGGAAATTGGGGTGGAATCTGGCTCCACCCAGACCTGATAGGGAGATCACTCTGCAGGCCTTCTGGGACAGGAACCATAAAGAAAAAATCTGGTACTAGGCCAAAAGAATCCAGTGCAATGCACTTGTCTGACTGTTCACTAGCCCCTCACACACACACCCAGTGCCACACAGCTTATTCTACTTTCAACTGAAATAAGCCATGCCTGTATGAGGGGTGGAGAGACTGGCTGCACATTGGGGCATGTGCCAAGCACGTATTGATTGCCAAGCACGTATTGATTTTGCTTGTGCAATCTAAATATCCATCTGTTTGGGAGGATACTTTGCTCATATCCACCATTTGTTCCCATATGTACTGCATGTGAGGGTATATCTTGGTATTAAGCTTTAGTTACTATTGTACTGCATTTTTAAGTGTTCCCCTATTTAAATAGCATATTATTTTTGCAAGTCCAATTTTAATGATTAAGTTATTGATGTGAAAAGCACATAGGTTAATTTATTCATATTTGCATTTTCCCAGTAAAAAATTGACATCCATTTACTGAATTCTTTGGCATGGAACTGTTTCTAAGTCCCTGACATCCACTCATTTATAATCGCTGAAAGAAGAAGAAAGTCAGAAAAATAAGCTTCATGCAATTCAACCAATGGCAAAATTTGTCTTGGGTTCCTTTGACAGTTCTGTTAATCTCTCTTTAGTCTCTTCCTCCACCTCTTACAGGCTTCTATCTTCAATCTCCTTTCCTTCCTTGCTAGTTCATACTGTAACTGACGATGGGTTTTCTTCTCGACTGGCTTCATTTTTGCTGTTCTTCCAGGAGAAAAATCTATTACCTGCATCGCAGATACAAGTTCATGAACAGGTGAGTAAAACACTTTAACTGGCATATTTTATGTCAATATTGATCTATAGATAAATGAACGGTAAAGTTCATATTGGAAGGGCAGGTATGAACATACATGTGCTTTACTAGGCTTGTAAATCCACACCTTCAAAGTATATGTGAAAGAAATTATCAGTTTCCCATTGTAGTATAAGGAAACATCTTTCAAATTAGTGGGATCTTTTAAAGCAGAAGAAACTTTTTATTTTTGGGGGAGTTAAAATATTACTGTAATCTGTTATAAATTATTCTCCTTTACAGTGCACCCTTCTCAACTTATGGTGGTGTTGAAATTAGTTATTTCCTATACTGTAGCTGTGCACAGTGCTTTACAGGTAAATAAAAAGGCCATGAAGCAAATTTATCTGTGATATAATATCACAGAAATCAATAGATAAAGAATTTTTTCCCTAAAGTTTTAACCTTGAAGCACTTCTGTTCAGTTACAAAACATCTTTAAGATGTCTTTGCATTTTTGTCTTTTTACCTCATTTATAAAACAATCAAAGGCTTTCAGTATCCAGAACTTTCACTGTTTTGATTTGATTAAAAAATGTCTTTGGTCCAAAGTGTCTCCAAAAATCTTGGAATAATGTAAAAACTTGGCAAAGGGCAATCCACTTAATGGTTTTCCATGCTAAGATGCTGTTCATGGGGTTTTCAAGTACACTCAGCGATTTATTTACTTTCTTGCATTGAAGTCAGTGATAAACTTCCATTAATTTTAATGGATGTTGAGTTAGGCCAGTGTAGAATGTTTTTGAAAACTCATACGCTAGAACAATAGGTGCTTTCCACTGCAGTTTCTGTTGATATCCACAGGCAAAACTAATTTGCCAAAGTGATCTGAACTTCTTAAGATCAGTATTCAGTTGTATTAAATACCACTATATCCTTCTGGTGATATGAGAGTATCAACATTACTCCAATATGATAGCATACATATGATTTTTTGGTATGCAGCATTTGATCTCTCTGATGAAAAGAGAAATTTTGTTCATGAGCATATTCTATAAATACAATGAGCTCTCCTAAAGCTGGTTACTGTTCCTCTCCTCAGCGTACCCCAGAGTAAGTGCTTTGGGGCTTACTAACTGAAATCTTACAGTCAGCAATTTTTCTAAAGCAATGCACAGGCTGAAAAAATAAGTGGAATAATATCAGCTAGGAAGGTATTCAGCCACAAAGTGCTTTAAAAGTCTTCATTTGCTACCTAAGCTGCAAGAAGTAGACAGTTACTATGCATCTGAAACCACATTGTTTGTAGATATATGGAGTTGCTTTTTTCTTGACCACTTGTACTAAGAGGACCTAAGCAGGTGCTATTTTTTTAAATTAAATGTGTCTTGCCAAATTGGAAACTACAGGTCACTCTCATTTCTTGGTTTATGGTTTCATATTATGTGTGAACCCCACATCATAAACTGGAGGCATAGTCAATGGGCACCTGTTCCTAGTAAAGAATCATGTAAGTTATAGATGGACAAAGCCCTAGTTGTCACGACCATTTCCTTGTTGATAACAAATGAACTAGGAGGATGCTTGCTCTGGCCAACCTAACATGACTTGAGCTTGTCTCAGCTGGAATATGGTGCTTACATATTTTAATCCCTCAATGACTGATTGGTTTAAAAACAGTTAATACACATAATTTTAAGTTTTCAATACTTAACTGTCCCTGAATCTTTCCAGATTCCTGATAGCCTGTTTACTGCATGTCTACACATGCACATTTACTGTGCAGTTACTGAAATTACTGTTCAGTATGGGTGTGTGTCTACACATGCATGCCCTTTCTGCACAGTAAATATGGCGACTTATGCTGACTTGAGTGTAAATTTGATACCTGCATTATGATCAAATTTATGACCAATTAGTTACTGTGCAGTAATGCATGTGTAGATGCCTTACTGTTCAGTAACACTGTATATGTGGACTGATTCGGGACTAACCTTAGTCCCAAGTCAGTCCACATACAGCATTAATGCACTTTAGTGCCTGAATGTATAGACACTGACCTATTCCCTCTTACTGCACAGTAACTTACTGCACAGCAAATTTAAGCTAGCATAAATACACATGTAGACATGCCTAGAGCCAGTGAAACACAATGGGTATGTCCAGACGAGCGTGGATATGCAGTATGTGGCACTGCAGACCTGTCTGTGGCACCACACACCGCACATGCAGGTGTTCCCTGTGCTGCTGCTTTGCAGCATGGTTTGTGGGGGGTTTGACACCAGGAGATCCCAGAGTAAAAAAGTGGGGCAGTGCACATGGCAGCAGCATGCACCACCCAAAACTGGAGCCTAGCCAGCCAGAGCCACACTCCAGCTGCTGGCTAGGCTTCCAGCCATGCCTGCAGTCCCAGAAGCTACCCAGGACCACAGGTAAGGCTGCTGGGGCCAGCAACTGTGCTGGCCCCAGCCTCCCCTAACCCACTTGGGATAACCTGCGACACATGAGAGCACCCGTGGCATGGGCATTCCCCAGGGACAAATAACAATGGCACAAGGTGTCCCCAGGGAAACAAATGTCTGTGCTAATCTGGACACACCTAATATGTTTTAACTCTGTCTGTCTGTGTATTAGTGCCAATACTCTGCCTCTTCCTGCTTTTTTGAGAGAGATACTAACACAGTTTAAAATCTGCATCAGTGCCTATAACCATGTTAAAGTAGCCTGGAGGCATCTTCTGAGGGTCTGATCATTTTTATTTTTCAAAGGATGGAAATAATTTGCTTTGGAGAGTTGGCTTCAAAATGAAACAAGTTCTACACTTCTTGTAGTGTGGCGTATGCATCAGCAGGGAATGAACAAGTCCACTGGGCCCACTAAGGAATATGAATGTTGTAATGACAAAAGCCAGTCAATTTTCAAATAAGCTCATGGTGAAGTCAACATGTTCTTAAAATGAAAAAGTGCTGTGTGCAAGCTGTGATAAACCAGCAGCATACATACTGCAAATGTGCATGTTAGGTCTCAGGATGAATGGGAAGAGGACTACAGATTCTTGAGCGTATTAACAGTTTATCGAAGTCAGATTATTTTACTAAATATATAAGCCTGTCACTGAATGTGTTGAAACAGTTCTTTCTCAAACCCTCCCCAATTTCACTAACAAAAAACAAAGTGTAATACTGAAAGGCTTAATTGCCCCTTTCAATAGACGAGAGTCAGTGAAAGGGGAGAATACCTCAGAGCAAAGCTTTGATCCTCCATATAGAATTGGGGTGCCCTTCTGCACGGTACAGGCCTGGAGCTGAAGGCCTTCTCTTAAAGGCACTGTACCTTCAAAGCAGGTGTGCACTCTTCCAACTCTGACCTTATTCCTTGACATTATGTCTTCCATGGTCTTCACTGAAGAGGAGAAGGACATAGGAGATTAATACATTCCCTAAGAAATTCCTGTTTAACAGCTGGAAACTTCTCTTATTGTTGTGTGGGGGCAGCAAATAAAAAACTAGCCACCCAAAATAGAAGAGAGAATGGTTTATAACAGAAGTGCTAGCTTGTTCCTCTTTGACCTACTCTTTCCACTCTAGGTGGCCACCCACCATTAATTTAGAATAACAATAAAAAATTATGGTGAACTAGTCCGCTAAAATAGCCTTTTTTTCTGTGTGTGAATTTTCTGAACTAGTCCCAGTTTCCCATATGGGTTTGTACATGTCACGGGGGTTTACTAAATTGAAGCAGTGGGTTTTTAAAAACACTGCTTCAATTCAGGGCAAAGTAAACCCCCATGGCATGTACACAAGGGTCGGGCCTAATCCTTACCTGCATCTCCAGCGAAGGGGAGGAGAGGGTGAGCTGCCAGCAGGCTAAGCAGTCCCTGAGCTGTGTGGGGAGAGGAGGGGCTGGTGCTTCACTCCACAGCAGCAGTGGCACCCACCTACAGGCACCCAGCCCAGGAGGTCCTGAGAGACACTACAGGCACCCAGCCCAGGAGATCCTGGGAGACACCACAGCCACTGAGGGAAGCACTGGGCTGCTTTTTTTTTTTTTTTTCCTTCAGTGGAGCCTGCCTGTATGGGCTGCTGCTGGGCTGCCTGTATGAGCTGCCTGCACAGACCCTGAGCTGCACAGAGCCCGGTGCGTCCCTCCGCTGCTGTAAGGTAGCAAACTAAAACACCTTGGACATGTTTTATTTTGCTGCGTCCCAAAGTCATTTAATGCACATTACGCTGCTGACGTGCAAACAGCTGCACCATTAAAGCAGTGCAAAAGAGCATTAAGTCACGTGAAAGGCCAATTTTGTGGTGTGTACAAATGGCATAGTGATTAACTGTAGGCACATGAATAGTTCCATGATGGATGAGTCTTTATAGAAACCCAGGCCTTACACAGGCGGGAAATTCTGGTTAGGGTGGTAAAATGCAAGGTGCCCTTGAGAGAAGAAGAATATAGTTTGTGAGAAAAATTCTGTGTTTTTACTCCACATTTTCTGTGTATTATTTTAGTTCAGATTTGCTTTTGATTTAAGATGTCACTTTCAATCACCTGCAATCTTGGTATGTGTATCTGTGGTTTGCTTTTTTTCTATGAGCATGCTGCAGATATGCCTCTTCCTCTTGTTTAGCATTGGTTTGTTTTCAGCTGTTGAAGTGGGACTGTTAAATGTGAGACCTGGCATTACTATCATCTCCCAAGCTATGTGCTTTGAGTAATATAATTTCATAAAGGATGTACTACCTTAAGACATTGCAGTTGAAGCATATTAAAGAAATAAACAGTTTGTTTTCATGGAAATATTTTTCATGTATGAGTTGATGCAAAACTGCAGTGAGATGATTTATTTTTCTGGGATCGTGCTGCCAAAGCTTTCTGTAATGGTTTCTTCAGTACTAATGTTTACATGCCCTTAGTAAGCGCACTGTAGTTTGTCAATTAATTTCCAAATTTAAATTAAATTAGCCAAAAAAGCTCAGAAAGTGAAAGTTTGAGGGCTGCCAGAAGCTTATTGGGTTTTACTAAGATTTGCAGCATCTGTGTTGCTGTTCTGTTAGGAAGAGAATTAGATGCTGCTACTCTACTGAATGCTAGTTATTAATAATCTGCATTCAGTGCATGTAACTCAGTCTGAATTCTGAAATGCCTTACACACTTTGCTTCTTTCATAACTGTAAATATTACACATCCTTATATTTTGTGTTTTTGAGTGCTCTGTAAGGTTTAAATGTAGTAGATAATGGAAACCCTATTTCCTTCCTGCCTCACTGGATATCCCCTTTCATGTACTGCAGGATCGAGAAACAAATAAGCAGGTTTCGAGGATGGTTACCTAGAAAGCCTATGAAACTGGACAAGGAGACACTGCCAGACCTGGAAGAGAATGACTGCTACACTGCCCCTTTCAGCCAACAAAGGATCCACCAGTGAGTATTCTGTTAAATCTTAAATTTAAAGCAAAATATCTCTTTCCAAAAGAATTTTACAGAAATCTAGTTTTCAGTGCAGATATTAAGGATTATTGGTATTTTTGTTGGTAATATTTCCCTATCCAGTGAAGGTTAATACAGGTATTTTGTACAGGTATTGATAAAGGTAAAATATAGCTAATGGTAAAGTATTTGGGAAACTGACCATGTAAAAATAGCCCCTTCCCAATAGGTGGTCATAAATTTACCTAAATTAAATTTGTACAGCTTTTTACTCCTAGTAATCAATGCAGAGCAAATGCAGTTCTAGATGACAGCACTGCTTTTTCCACTTCTTATATAGCATCAACAAATAGTTTACTAAACTCTAGTTTCAAGGCCAATCAGTTAAACTTATGCCAATGTGGTGATAACAGTGGTGCGTGTAACAGGGGCTCAGGCAGGAGCCCTGTTACTGAGATAGTTTCAGGCATGGATGACCTAAGAATGCACTCCACCAGGTGAAGGGAGTTACACACCAGGGTGAGGACAGAGTGATGAACCCTCCACGGCCAGTATAAATCTGGTGGTGGAGCAAACACACTTTGCTTTTGGGCACTGGAGGACAGATGAGGGACTACCGGGACCTCAGAAGATGGAAAACAAGAAGCCTAACCTGTGATCCAGAAGGGTGCCAGGAGCACAGGACTCTGGATGACATGGCAGGTCAGCTACAAGGCAAACTACTTTCCCAGCTGCTCTGGTAAGTGCAGGGAAGGACCATGGGGTAGGGATCCCAGAGAGAGAAAGAGTGTCCCCAGGATGGTGCATGGGCAGCAGGAGCTAGACTAAGCTATCGGCCCAAACGGGACAGCCACAATGCCAAAAAGGTGATCCAGAGAGCAAGAGAGCAGCAGGGTTCCCTTATCGGCTATGTGGGCTTCCCTTGCTAATGAAGTAATCAGCAAGGCTGTTATTACCTTGCAACCTCCTGCTGTGAAATAAAGGCTACATTGTGAGAATTTACTACCTTGCTGGTATATAGTGATTCCTTGCTCTGAAATTACTACTGAATCCCACTCCTTTTCCTTTCTATCCAAGTTATGGTAGGAGAGTCCAAAGGGAGATGGAGCTAGGAGTGACCCCCCTCTCACAGTGCTGAACAGGTATCACCAAAGGCATAGGTTAGCCTGTAGAAGCTTTATTGCTAGTGACAGTGCATAAGAGGAAAAAACCCAGCTTGCCAGGGCTCAGCAATAGGAGAAAGCATCTTTGTCCCTGTAAACATAGCTCTTTCTAATGTGGAAATGGCTCTGTGACTAGCAGTTTGGAAACTCTCAGTATCATAATGTCACTTTTCAGAACAGAACTGCAATTTCTGTAACAGTTGCCAAAGCAAATTATGGAGGTGAGGAGAGTTCTTTATGGAGAGTTTCAGTGCTTGCAATATGAGGAGTGATAATCAGATACTGAAATAAAAAGAAGCACACGGAATAGGCGGCACAGACCAGGATGCTAACAAAAAAGAACTCTGTACTACAGAAGAAGTTAAGATCAGCCTGTGGACTAAGTCAGTCAAGACTATCCCTGTATCAGAGAGAAGATATATTTTGGTAAACATGTCATTGTGAATGAACTATTCAATAAGTAATTGATTTATTTACTGCTACCAATATCAGTGTATAAAATAAATTCTACCATATCAGGTGCTTTTTCATTATTTAAAATATCTGTAAATCAACAAACAAAAACAGCAGCCAAGCTCCGTAATTTCTAGCAAAACTCCCCTCCTGACACAAGTTAACAAACATGTCTCTTTCCACCAAATTTCTACTCCATAAGCCAATCTCTTTAGATACTTAGGCACAAACAAGCTGCCTTGAAAGAGGAAGAATATGTATGAAATGCTTCTGTAGGCTTGAAATCAGCAAAAATGAAAAGGAGAGAACAACAGCCTCCAGATCAATGTTACTAGTAACTTTGCTTGAAATCAGGTCCACAAGAAAGTTTTGTAGGAAGCTTGAGAGAGAACACTTTGAACATAGGTAAGAAGATTATTTTTCCCCTGACTTCATCCTTGTTGGTTTTTGAGTTGTTAATATAAATCTTTTTATTAAGAACTGTTTTAGGTTCATTAATGTGCTTATTGTTGCTTTACACGTCCTTTATATCACTTCATACTTTGAAACTCTGTTTCCCAGCAGAGCTGACATTTTTCTCCTCTGCTTTTTTTGTCTTCCTTTCATTTTGTTACAGATAAAATACTAGCAGAGCCTTTTTCTTCCCCCTGCATGGTGTTGTCTTATATTATTTTTGCACTCCCTTCATGACCTTGTGGGCTTTGCCATTCTGTTGGGTTTTCCTTCTCTTTTTTTTTCAGTGAGCTGACTTGTTTAATATTCTGTTAGTGAAAAGGGCATTATAGGGGCCTTTTAAATTATTTTCTTTTTTGGTTGTAGAAAGCAAGCAATGACTAATTAGAAATGTAAAGTTGAAAAGGATGTATTTGGTAACTGTGATGGTCTGAGACAAAAGAAATGCAAACATCTAGAACTCTTGGTTCAGAAATGATACCTTTTATTAGACCAACTAGGAAATTGCAAAAAAAAAAAAATCTTTTTCTGCAAGCTTTCAGCCTTGAACACCCTTCATCAGGCTCTGGGAAAATTAAAGATGGTAAAAAGTCCCCATAAGTAGGAAATCAACTTCATTTTTGCACAGAGGGAGCTGGAGATGGAAAATCTGTCCCTCTGGGTCCATGAGAGTGTCTCTGTGAGTTGAAGATTTTTGCATTTCTTTGTGTCTCAGACCAACACAGCTACCACATACATCCCTGAAACATTCAAGATGCCGAATTTTAGCCAATTTGGGATTTTTAACTTCGTTGGAGAACAACAAGAAAGATTTTTAAACCTCCCTGCTTGCCATCTGACACTCTAGGGAAGGAATCCTACCTGATCTACACAACAAAAAGAAACTCAGAACAACTCACAAAGATGCTCTCATGGACCCAGAGGGACAGATTTTTCATCTCCAGCTCCCTCTGTGCAAAAATAAAGTTTATTTCCTACCTATGGGGACTTTTTACCATCTTTAATTTTCCCAGAGCCTGATGAAAAGTATTTGAGCCTGAAAGCTTGCAGAAAAAGATCATTATTTTGCAATTTCTTAGTTGGTCTAATGAAAGGTATCATTCCTGAACCAAGATTCATAGATTTTTTGGGGGTCAGAAGGGACTTCAGTAGATCATCGAGTCTGACCCCCTGCCCTGGGTAGTAAACAGTGATGGGGTCAGATGACCCCAGCCACGTGTTTGTCCAGTCTTCTCTTAAAGACCTCCAAGGTAAGGGAGAGCACTGCCTCCCTTGAAATTCCATTCTAGATTCTGGTAACCCTTACCATGATGAAGTTCTTCCTGATGTCTAGTCTAAATCTGCTCTGTCAGTTTTTGGTCATAGTTTGTAGTTACTCCAGGGGGTGCCCTGGTAAACGCAGCATCCCTTGCTGCCTCCCTCTCACCCCTGACGAATTTGTAGACGACCACTAGATCACCTCTCAGCCTTCTCTTACAGAGGCTGAAGAGATGCAAGTCCCTCAATCTCTCCTCGTAGGACCATACCTGCAGGCCCTTAACCATATGAGTAGCCCTCCTCTGGACCTTCTCCAGGTTATCCACATCCCTCTTGAAGTGCAGTGCCCAAAACTGGACTCGGCATTCTAGCTGCGGCCTTACCAATGCCACATAGAGGGGAAGTATTACCTCCTTAGACCTGTCCATGATGCATCTGTACGATAGAGTGTGATTGATCACTTCATCACATTGTTGACTCATGTCCATCTTCAAGTCAACTATGACTCCGAGATCCCTTTCCACTGCTGTGCTGCTTAGGTCATCTCCCAATCTGTAAGTGTATTGGTGATTCTTTCTCCCTAGGTGCAGTACTTTGCACATATCTTTGTTAAACTGCATCCTATTTTGTTCTGCCCACTTCTCCAGCCTGTCCAAATCCTCCTGAATCCATTCTCTGCCCTCCAGTGTGTTTACTTTGCCCCATAATTTGATATCATCCATGAATTTGGGCAGAGTGTTCTCCACACCCTTGTCCAAGTCACTGATGAAGATATTGAACAGCACTGGTCAAAGGACCAAGCCTTGGGAGACCCCACTGCCCACATCTTTCCAGGTTGATACTGACCCATCCACCACCACTCTCTGGGTGCAGCCCATTCCCCACCCACCTGACTGTGAAATCACTTAGGTCACAGCTACTTTGGTTTTTTTTATGAGAATGAGATGTGACACAGTATCAAAAGCTTTTTTAAAATCCAAGTATTTGACATCCACCTCGACTCCTGTGTCCAAGCAGTTTGTGACCTGGTCATAAAATAAAACAAGGTTTGTCAGACAGGATCTACCTGCTATGAATCTGTGTTGGTTGCTCTTCAGCATTATGTTTCCTGTTAGACTCCCACAAATATAATCCTTAATAATTTTTTCATAGGTTTTCCCAAGGATAGAGGTGACACTAATTGGTCTGTAGTCACCTGGATTCTCCTTCCTCCCCTTTTTGAAAATAGGGACCACATTGGCCCTTTTCCAGTCCTCTGGGACTTGTCCTGAGCTCCATGAGCATTCAAACAGTCCTGCCAGTGGCTATGCTATGACACTGGCCAATTCCTTCAGCACCCTTGGATGAAGATCATCTGGGCTTGCTGACTTGAATATGTCAAGCCCCTCCAAGTGTCCCTTCACTAGGCCAGAGCTAACCTTTAGTGGTCTGGTATCCCTCCTATGATTGTCTGTAGTCCAATTTGGAGATATGTCATTATCTGTGTTCAGGAATACTGATGCAAAAAACTCATTGAAGATCTCAGCTTTGTCCCTCCTATCCATCACTAGTTGCCATAGCCTGTCCTGTAGGGGTCCTATGTTACCATGCACCATCTTCTTGTTCCCTATTTACCTGAAAAAGGACTTTTTGTTGTCTCAAATGTTAGTTGCCAGCCTGAGTTTCATTGCTGCCTTGGCCTTTCTGACTCCCTGCCAGCGTGAGCCAAGTAGATATAATCCTTCTTGGTGGCTACCCCCTGTTTCCACAGTCTGTATACCTCTTTTTTCATCCTTAGGCTTTCCTGGATTTTCCTGTTCAGCCAAGGGGGTTTTTTGGCTCCTCTGCCCTGCTTTATGTGCAATGGGATTGTCCCCTTCTGTGCCCGAAGGATCGTTCCTTTGAGGAACAACTGCCCTTCCTGGACTCCCATCTCACCAAGGCTCTTATCCTTCAGTGCCTCACTTACTAACCTCCTGAGCTTATTGAAGTTAGCTTTTCTGAAGTCTAGCACTTCTGTCCTACTGGTTATCTTCCCCCCTTTTGACAGATAGTGAATTCTAACAATTGGTGGTCACCATCTCCTAGATTACCCTGTATCTGCAGATCCCCCACCAGGTCATCCCCTGTAGCAAACACCAAATCCAGTAAGGCATTTCCCCTAGTGGGATCATATACTTCCTATGTTAAGTGAAGATCTTGTATGCAGGTTAACAACCTACCTGTGTGAACAGTTGGACCTAGCTGACTGCTTCTTGCAGCAGATTTCAGGGTAGTTAAGGTCACCTATGACAACCATGTCCCTTGAGCGTACTGCCTCTGAGAGCTGCCTTGAGAATTCCAGGTCTAGCTCATCCCCCTGGTATGGCAGTCTGTAATAAACTTCCACTACCAAGTCCCTTTCACCCTAACCCCCTTTTATTCTGACCCACAGTACCTCAGTATGCCCCTCTTCTGATCCC